CCTGTGATTAAGCCTGTGATCAAACTCACACCGCAACTCACCAGACAGACGGGGCTTGTGATCAAGCCCACGCCAGAGGGCCTGTGATCAACTCACACCAGAGGAGGCCCCTGTTATCAAGAGGGGCCTGTGATCAAACTTGTCGTGACCAACCACTCAGACCAGAGGCGTCAAGCTTACACTATAGAAGGCCTGTGGTCAGACTCACATGAGGTGATCTGGCCGTGCAGAGCCTGTACAAATTCACGCCAGAAAGGGCCTGTGATCAAACTCACACCAGAGCGGGCGTGTGATCAAACTCACACCTGGGCCTGTGATCAAGCTCACACCAGGGATGGGCCTGTGATCAATCTCACGCCATGCAAGATTCCACTCTCCACCAGAGGCGTCAAGTAGCTTCTGCTCAGCTCAAACATCAAGACAAGGACCCCTGCGCCCAACCCTCAGAGCCAATCCTTTTCCCGAAGTTACGGATCTGTTTTGCCGACTTCCCTTACCTACTTTTTCCTACCGACCAGAGGCTGCAAACCTTGGAGACCTGATGCGGTTATGGGTACGACCAGGGGTGTGACTAAGTCTGTCCTTCGGCTTTTCAAGGGCAGCTGAGAACGCACCAGACACCTCGGAGGACAAGGTGCTTTACCCGCGATCTAACCCTATCTCCAGATAATCTGATTCCAGGGTACAAAGCGGTTAAGAAGAAAAGACAACGCTTCCCAGGGCTCTCTCCTGCGTCGCAGAATTCCCTTACGTTGCCGTACAGTATCCACGTCCTGGTTGGGGGAGATTAACCCCATTCCTTTTCGAGGAACGAAGCAGTGCTTGCGTGTGCGGAACATCCCTCTCTCTTAGGATCGCCACCAGACGGGACCTGTGATCAAACTTACACCTGTGATCAAACCCACACCGCACGAGACTGAACACCAGCGTTTGATCAAGCTTACATGAGAGGGGGCCTCTGACCAAGCTCGGATCCAAGGGCGGCCAAACAGACGGGTGATCAACCACGCGTTTGTGATCAAACTCGCACCAGGGGGCCAAGCTCGCACCACACAGAGCCTGTGATCAAAGTCACACCAGACAGACACCAGAGCGGCATAAACTCACACCTGTCACCAAGCTAGGAGGCCTGTGATCAAACTCACACTTTGTGACCTCACACCAGAAGCAAACTCAAACCAGACAGGGCATGTGGTCAAACTTTCAGCAGAAAGGGCCTGTCTCACACCAGACGGGGCCTGTGATCAAACTCCACCAGAAAAAACAAAGCTGTGATCAAACAAAGACCAGACAAGGCTTGTGATCACACACTGTGATCAAATTCACACCAGACGGGGCCTGTGATCAAACTCGCACTAAACTCACAGCAGGGCATTCAAACTCACGCCAACGCTGGAGGGTGCCTGTATCGGGGGCCGGTGATCAAACTCACACGATGGTGTGGCCAAAGCTCACACCAGACGGGGCTTGTGATTCATTCCACACCGAACAGCCTTGCATCCACAATCAAACGGGGCCTGCGACCTCTCACCAGAGGGGGGCGGTTGTGATCAAACTCAGGCCCAGCCGGGATTGTGATGAAACTAAGACCAGTGATCACTCATACCAGAGAGAATCTGTGATCAAACTCACACCGGAGGATGGTGAGAGGGGCTTGTCTATCGTCAGGCTCACGCCATCACTCGCACCAGAGAGCCTGCGATAAACTCACGGGCCTGCGATCAAACTCGCGGGATGAAACTCACACCACAAGACAGCCTGTTAACAAACTCACACCGTAGGGGGCCTGTATTCATTTCACACCAGACAGGGCCTGTGATCAAACTCACACCAGACGGCCTGTGATCAAACTCACACCAGAAAAGACTTGTGATCAAACTCACACCACAGCGGGCGTGTGATTCAAGTTGAACAAAAGGCGTGGCCACGACAGCTTCCCTGAACACACTATCCTTCCGGCCTGGCTGCCTTTTCTGGACAAGGGCAGCAGCCAGTTGTTCATGTCAGTACGGTTGCTAAGAACAACAAACTCGCAGCCTGTCATCAAGCTGACACACGGGACTGTGGTCAAGCTCACACCAGAAAGACAAAGCTCACACCCCAAATCACACCAGACGAGGAGAGAGGATCAAACTCACACCAGGCCCTAAACGGCGGGGGCCTGTGACAGAACTCGGCCTTTGATCAAACTCGCACCAGACAAAAGCCAAGCGGATAACCCAGTGACCAAACTCACGTCTGTGTTGAACTTTTACCAGGGAACGAAACTCACACCACAGATCAAACTCACACCAGACGGGCCTGTGATCAAACTCACTCCTGTCATCAAACAAGGAGGCCTGTGATCAAACTCACACTCGGACGGGGCCTGTGATCAAACTTGGGCCTGCGGGGCCCGTGAGGTGTGAGTTTGATCACAGGCCCCATTCTGGTGTAAGCTTGATTACATGCCGTGTTTGGTTTGAGCTTGTTTCTGGTGCAAGATCGCAGGGCCTTGTCCGCTCTGGTGTCAGTTTCACAGGCCCTGTCTCGTCTGGTGTGACTTTGATCACACAGGCCCCGGCTGGTGTGAGGCCCATCTCTGGAGTGGCTTTGATCACAGATTTCCTAGTTTGATGACAGGTGTGTAAGTTTGATCACAGGCCGCCCTTTCTGCTGTGAGTTTCATCACAGGCACTCTGGTGAATTTGATCACAGGGTGAGTTTGACGTTCCCCCGCTGTGAAGAGAAGTCTGGTGTGAGTTTGATCACAGGCCCCCTCTGGTGTGAGTTTGTCAAATGAGTTTGTTTCTGAAGTGGCTTTGGTCACATTGCTTTTTCTGCTGTATGGGCCGCCTCTTGTAAGTTTCACAGGCCCCGTCTGGTGTGAGTTTGATCACAGGCCCCCTCTGACGTGGAGCTGCGCGGGTGTGGGGCCACGTCTGGTGTGAGTTTGCCCGTCTGGTAAAACTTTGATGACAGGCCCTTTCTGGAATGAGCTTGGTCACACGCCTTCTCTGGTGTGAGTTTGAGCACACACACCCCGCCGTTTAATTTGGTCACAGGCCGCGTCTGGCCCTCCGTCCGGTGTGAGTGTGATCACGGCCCCATCTGGTGAGTTTGATCATGTGGTGTGTTTGATGATAGGCCCCCCTGATCACAGGCCCCATCTGGTGAGTTTGATCCCAGGCTAATCTGCCCCGTGAGTTTGACCGCGAGCCCTTTGTGGTGTGGGTTTGCCCCCTCTGGAGCGAGATGTGAGTTTGATCACACACCCCCTTTCCTGTGATCTAACTCACGCCAGACGCGGTCTGTGATGAACCCCAGAGAAGGATTGTGATCACCCTCACATCAGAGAGAGAGAAGCATCTGTGATCAATCTCACATCAAATGGGGCCTGTGACCTGTCATCAAACCAGGAGATGCACCAGAACAGCGGACACTCTCATCAAACTCCATCAGACGGCCTGTGATGAGCATGGGCTTGTGAGCTCACGCCAAGACTAGAGCAGGCGTGTGATCGATCTCACACCTGTCATCAAGCTCACGCCCAGCCTGTGATCATGATCAGACTCACACCGGATGGGGCTCGTGATCAAACAATTGGAGGGTGTGTGTGTGTGTGATCAAACTCACTCCAGCACAAAGGGCCCGTGGTCAAACTCACGCAAGGAGCAAATTATATCAGAGCGGGCCTGTGATCAAACTCACTAGATGGTGATCAAAGGACCAGATGGTGCTCACACCACGCAGAAGCGTGATCAAACTCACACCAGACCGGGCCTGTGATCAAACTCACACCAGAAAGGGCGGCCTGTGATCAAACTCACACGAGAGCGGGCCTGTGATCAAACTCACACGAGACGAGACTGGGCTTGTGAAACTGACACGGGACGAGGCGTGTGATATGCCAGACAAGGCCCTGTGATCTCGCACCAGAAACAAACTCAAACCAAACGCGGCATGTAATCAAACTCACACCAGAATGGGCCTGACTCACACCAGCCAAGGCCTATGATCAAACTCATGTCAGAGGCGCGGTCGCACACCCCTTCTTCAGCACCGGCCCGTCTCGTGTCAAGCCCTTTGTGGTGTGAGTTTGATTTCAGGCTAAGTTTGATGACAGGCCCCAGCTGGTGTGCGTTTCATACAGACCTGACAGCGCGTCTATTTTGAGTTGGATCAGACACCCTCTATTGTGTGAGTTTGATCACAGGCACCCTCTGGCGTGACGCCCATCCGTGATCACAAGCCCTGTCTGGTTTTTGTTTGATCACAGGGGGCCTGTGAAACAACTCACACCATACGTGGCCGTTGATCAAACTTACACCAGAGGGGGCTGTGGCTAAATTCACATCAGAGGGGCCTGTGATCACACTCACACCAGAGAGGGCCTATGATCAAACTCGGCCCACACCAAGGAAGGGAGGGAAAAATCACATCAGAGGGCCTGTCATCAAACTCGCACCATACAAGGCCTGCGGACACTGGGAAAGGCCTGTGATGAATCTCACACCAGATGGGGCTTGTGATCAAAACTCACACCAGACCAAACCTGTGATCAAACTCACGTCAGACGGGCTCACGCCAGTCGCGGCCTGTGATCAACTCACTCCTCAGACGGGCCTCACACCAGACGGGTCTGTGATCAAAGCCACACCACAGAGCGGGCGTGTGACGTATCATCAAATTCACGCCAGTGCCAAGAGAAAAACAGCAAACTTGTGTCATCAAATTCACGCGAGGGGCCCTGTGATCAATCGAAGACTGGACGGGGATTGTGATCACGCACTGTGATCAAATTGACATTGGATGGGGCCTGTGATCAAACTCAAAAATGCGACCCCAGACGGGGCCTCTCATCAAACTTACACTAGACAGAGGGCCTGTGACCAATCTCACATCAGATGGGATGATCAAACTCACACCAGACGCGGTCTGTGATCAAATTACAACTAGACGGGGTGTGTGAGTAAACTCACACCAGAAGGTGCGTGTGATCAAGCTGACGTGGCCTTTGGTTAACCTGACGCCAGAGGCGGCCTTTGACCAAACGTCTTGGCAGGAACACCAGTCTTGGCACGAGCATCAGGCTGGCCAGCATTCACCAGGCTGGCCAGCATCAGGCTTGGCATGAGCGCCAGGTGTCTATGCACGAACACCGGGCTGGCTGACTGTCTTGGCACGAGACCAGGCTGGCCAGCATGTCTCAGGCTGGGCAGCATGTGTTGGCACGACTCCACGCTGGCCAGCATGTCTGTGGCAGGAACACCACGCTGGCCAGCAACGAACACCAGCTGGCCAGCATGTCTCTGCACGAGCACCAGGCTGCCAGCATGGCTTGGCACGAGCACCACATGTCTTGGCACGAGCACCAGGCTGCACGCATGTCTTGGCATGAACACCAGGCCAGCATGTCGTGGCACGAACCCCAGCATGTCTTCGCACAATCACCAGGCTGGCCGAGCATGTCGTGGCATGAGCATGGCCAGCATGTTTTGGTGTGGGACGAGCACCAGACTGACCAGCGCATCTCAGCACGAGCAGCAGGTTGGCCAGGATGTCGTGGCCCGTACCAGGCTGGCAGCATGTCTTGGCGCGAACACCAGGCTGGACGATGCCTTTGCACGAGCACCAGGCTGGCCAGGCTGGCCAGCATGTCTTGGCACGAGCACCACACTGGCCAGCATGTGTAGGAGCACCAGGCAGGCAAGCACGTGGCACAAAGCATGACAGGCTGGCCAGCATGTTTTTGCACGAACACCAGGCCAGCATGCCGAGCGAGGCTTTGGGGACAAGCGCCAGGCACGAACACCAGGTTGGCCTGTATGTCTTGCGCGAACACCAGGCTGGCCAGCATGCCAAGACATGCTTGCCGAGCACCAAGGCTGGCCAACATGTCTTAGCAACAGCACCAGGCTGGCCAGCGTGTGTGGGCACGAGCGCCAGGCTGGAAAGCAAACACTAGGCAGGCCAGCATACAAGGACCACGCTGGCCAGCATGTCTCGGCACAGCACCAGGCTGGCCAGAATGTCTTGGCACAAGAACCAGCAGTGTAGGCACGAACTTGGCACGAGCACATTCTGGCCAGGCATCATGCCTTGGCACGAGCATTAGGGCTGGCCAGCATGTCTTGGCACGAACACCAGGCTGGCCAGCATGTCGTGGCATGCGCACCAGGCTGGGCGACCACCATTTTGTCTTGGCGCCAACAGCATGCTGGCACGATGGTCCCATACACCAGGCCTGCCGCATGTCTTGGCACAAACACTAGGCTGGCCGCATGTCTGGCACCAACACCAGGCTGGTCATTGGCAGACACACGAGGCTGACCATGACATGAAGGGTGCTGGCCAGCATGTCTTGGGCACGAACACCAGGCTAGACAGCATGTGTCCACGAGCACCAGGCTGGCCGGCATGTCTTGGTCAAGAACACCAAGCGGCTGGTCAGCATTTCTTGGCACCAGCACCAGGCATCAGAGTATATCTTGGCACGGCTGGTCAGCCAGCATGTCTTGGCCAGCTGGCACCAGTCTTGGCATGAATGCCAACAAAAGATTCGCCAGAATGTCTTGGCACGAGCAGGCTGGCCAGCATGTTTGGTCACTGGAGTCTTGGCACTTAGAGCGCAGTAGCATTGCGAGCATGGCGTGCTCAGCGGCCATGTAGCTGCCCTGACTCGTGGCAAGGCAAGCGTGAGGGGTGCCTTGTGCTGACAAAGGCATGCCAGCCGATTTTCGTCCAAAGACATGCGGCCTAGTGTTCGCGCGGCCAGCCTGGTGTTCGTGCCAAGACAGGCGGCCAACATGCTGGCCTGTCTGGTGCTCGTGCCAAGACATGCTGGCCAACCTGGTGTTTGTGCCAAGATCTGCTGGCCAGCCTGGTGTTCCATGCTGGCCAGCCTGGTGTTCGTGCCCTATGTCTGATCCAAGACTTGCTGGCCATTCTGGTGCTCGTGCCAAGAAGACAGCCAGCCTGGTGCTCGTGCCCAGACATGCGGCGTTTTGGTGTCTTGGCGCGAACACCAGCATGTCTTGGCACGAGCGCTGGGCTGGCCGCATGTCTTGGGAATATCAAGAAGGCTGATGTTCGTGCTGGCAGAAGACGGCCGCCTAGTGCTCATGCCTGGACATGTGGCTGTCTGGTGTTCGTGCCGAGACATCCGATGTTCGTGTGCTGGCAGAAGACGGCCAGCCTGGTGCTCATGCCTGGACATGTGGCTGTCTGGTGTTCGTGCCGAGACATCCGCATTTCTTGGCACGAACACCAGCATGTCTTGGCACAAGCACTACGCTGGCCGCATGTCTTGGCACGAACACCAAGCTGGCGGCATGTATTGGCACAGATGTCTTGGCAAGCAGCAGGTTGGCGAGCACCAGGCTGGCCAGCATGTCTTGGCGCGGCCAGCATGTCTTGGCCAGCGAGTCGTGGCACGAGCACTGTGAGCATGCGCCAGGCTGGCCAGCATGTCTTGGCTCGAACATCAGGCTGGAGCATGTCTTGCACCAGACTGGCCAGAATGTCTTGGCACGAACAGCAGGCTGGCTGCATCTCTGGGCACGAGCACCAGGCTGTCCAGCATGTTTTGGCACGAGCACAGGCTGTGGCCAGTATGTCCTGATGTCTTGGCATGAACACCAGGCTGGCCAGCATGTCGTGCACCAGGCTGGCCAGCATGTCTTGGCTCGAACACCAGCAGCACACCAGGCTCACCAGCATGTCTTGGCACGAACATGTTTTGGCACGTTCCTGCACGAACAGGCTGGCCAGCATGTCTTGGCACGCACTCCAGGCAGGCCGCTTGTCTTGGCACGAACGCTAGGCTGGCCCCAGGCTGGCCAGTCTTGGCACGAATACCAGGCTGGCCAGCAGGTCTTGGTGCAAGCGCCAGGCTGGAAAGCAAACACTAGGCTGGCCAGCATACGAGGACCACGCTGGCCAGCATGTCTCGGCACAGCACCCGGCTGGCCAGAATGTCTTGGCACAGAACACCAGCCAGCGTAGGCACGAACTTGGCACGAGCACATTCTGGCCAGGCATCGTGCATTGAACAGCTGGCCAGCATGTGTTGGCCAGCCTGGTGTTCGTTCCAAACACATGCTGGCCTCGTGCATGCTGGCCTCGTGCATGCTGGCCAGCTTGGTGACATGGAAAAACAGTCTGGTGTTCGTGATACATGCTGGCCAGCCTGGTATGCTGCTGGTGTTCGAGCCAAAACATGCTGGCCAGTCTGGTGCACGACATGCTGGCCAACCGTGCCAGGACATACTAACCACAGCCTGGTGCTCGTGCCAAGACATGCTGGAAAGCCTGGTGTTCGTGCCAGGACATGCTTGTGGACACATGCTGTCTAGCCTGGTGTTCGTGCCCAAGACCCATGTCATGGTCAGCCCAGTGCTTCTGCCAAGACCCAGCGGCCAGTCTAGTGTTTGTGCCAAGACATGCGGCAGGCCTAGTACATGGGACCAGCCTGGTGTTCGTGCCAGCATGCCAAGACATGCTGGCCAGCATGGTGTTGGCGAAGACAAAGATGGTGGTCGTCCAGCCTGGTGCGCATGCCACAACATGCTGGCCAGCCTGGTGTTCGTGGGCACGAACGCTAGGCTGGTCGGATGTTAGCACCAGGCTGGCCAGTCTTGGCACGAACACTAGGCTGGCCAGCATGTCTTGGCACGAACACCAGGCTGCATGTCGTGGCAGGCTGGTCGCATGTCTTGTCACGAGCACCAGGCTGGCCGCACCCACGAACACCAGACCATCAGGCTAGCACGAACACCAGGCTGGCCAGTGTGTGTTGTCACAAGCACCGCCCTTGACACAAGCACCAGGCTTGCCGCATGTCTTGGCACAAGCACCAGGCTGGCCGCATGTCCAGGCTCCGGCACGAACAGCAGACCAGGCTGGCTGCATGTCTTGGCACGTACACTAGGCTGGCCGAATGTCTTGGCACGATCTAGGCTGGCCGCATGTCTTGGAGGCTGACCAGCTGAGCAAGACCACCAGCTGGCCACGAACACCAGTCTGGCCCAGCGTGTCTTGGCACGAGCACCACAGCGTGTCTTGGCACGAGCACTAGGCTGGCCACATGTCTTGCTATCAGCACCAGGCTGGCCGGATGTCTTGGCACGAGCAGCGTCACGAGCAGGCATGTCTTGGGGCTGGCCAGCTTTCTTGGCTCGAACTCCAGGCTGGCCAGCATGTCCTGGCACGCGCACCAGACTGGCCGCAGACCTTGGCACAAATCTAGGCTCCAGCATGTGTTGGCGAACACCAGGCTGGCCGCATGTCTTGGCACGAGCACCAGGCTTGGCCAGGTTGTCTTGGCACGAACACCAGGCTGGCCTGGCCGCATGTCTTGGCACGAGCACAAGGCTGGCCGCACGACTTTGGCACGAACACCCCGACACAAGCAGCAGGTGGCCGCATGTCTTGGCACGAGGCCGCATGTCTTGGCACAAACACCAGGGTGGCTGTATGCCTTTGCACGAACACCAGGCTCGCATGTCTTGACACGAACACCAGGCTGGCTGCAACACCAGGCTGGCCAGCATGTCTTGGCACGCCCACCAGGCATGTCTTGGCACGAACACCGGCCGGCCAGCATGTCTTTGCACAAGCACCAGTCTTGGCACGAACACCAAGCTGGCCAGCATGTCTTGGCACGAGCACCATGCCGGCCAGCATGTCTTGGCACGAGCATCAGGCTGGCCAGCATGTCTTGGCACAAGAACGAGACTGGCCAGCATGTCTGGGCACGAGCACCAGCTGGCCATGCACACCACACTTGCCAGCATGAGCACCAGGCTGGCCAGCATGTCGTGGCACAAAGCTAGCACCAGACTGGCCAGCATGTCTTTGCACGAGCATCAGGACACCAGGCTGGTCAGCGTGTCTTGTCACGAACACTGGCACAAACATGACGATACCAGGCTGGCCAGCAGTCCTGGCATGAAACCAGGCTGCCAGCATATCTTGGCACGGCTTGGCAGGAACACCAGTCTTGGCATGATTACCAACAAAAGATCATGTTGGGGGCTGGCGTCTTGGCACTTAGAGTGCGGTAGCATCGCGCGTGCATGGCGTGCTTAGCGACCAGCAGTACTGTAGCTGCCCTGACTCGTGGGCGAGCGTAAGGGGTGCCTTGTGCTGACAGCACTAATATGGAGCGGTAGCTCCTTATATTCTATCACACTAAAGCCTCAGACCAGGCTGGCCAGCATGTCTTGGCACGAGCACCAGGCTGGCCAGCCTGCCTTGGCACGAACACCAGGCTGGCCAGCGTGTCTTGGCACGTGCCTTGGCACGAGCACCAGGCTGGCCAGCAAGCCAGCGTGTCTTGGCACAAGCACCAGCAGCATGTGTTGGGATGAACAGACTCCAAGAACCCGAGGGACGTTGTCGCTGGTCAGAAGTCCAGCATCCCCGCTTGGTACAA